GAAAATAGGAATCTCTGTGTAAAATATAAAAAAAAAAAAAAAAAAAAAAAAATCAATAATTTGGTGGGGGTAGGTCCAAATATTTCATCACTTTATATAGGATTCCTTAGCCAAACTTCTCGCTAGCTGTCTCAGTACATGGGACATGGTTTTCACTCGCAAGCCCTACCTAATAAATGACAAGGGCTAACAGAAGACTTGAGTATTTTGTAAACAAATTACAGTAACAATTTGCTCCAGACAGCCCAGCAAGAAAGCAAGTCGCAACTACAGCCAACGCAGAGGCAAAACTAATTGTAAGGCAACAGGAATGTTGTTTTCTCTCCTCTATTCTTCCTCCCCATCGCAAAGTTTCACTGCTTTTGGCAAGGGTGCCAAACGACAACCTGGAGCATGTGTCAAAGACAAATGGCATCTTCAGTGTCATCTTTCTGGCAACTTCTTCTACCAGTACAAAACCAGGACACACAATAAAGCACCCAGTTGCTTAACACATTTTCCCCACCTTCAGCCATGCATGCTTAAGCACAGGAACAGCAACGTGAGTATGTGTTTTTCACAGAATCACACAGAATGGCAAGGGTTGGAAGGGATCTTGGGAGATCACCCAGTCCCACCCCCCTGCTCAAGCAGGTTCTCCTAGAGCATGTTACACAGGACATCATCCAGGCAGGCTTTGAATATCTCCAGAGAAGGAGACTCCACAGCCCCCCTGGGCAGCCTGGGCCAGGGCTCGGGGACCCTCAAAGTCAAGAAGTTCTTCCTCATATTCAACTGAAACCTCTTCTGCTTCAGTTTGTGCCCATTGCCCCTTGTCCTGGCGCTGGGCACCACCAAGAAGAGTCTGGCTCCGTCCTCGTGACATCCACCCTTGAGATATTTGTATGTGTTGATGAGGTCCCCTCTCAGTCTTCTCTTCTTCAGGCTGAACAAGCCCAGCTCCCTCAGCCTTTCCTCATAGGGGAGATGCTCCAGTCCCTTTATCATCCTTGTTTTTCCTACTCTGTTTCTGAATCTATGCTGTATAAGTTTGAAAACTGTCAAGGAGTTTTTATCATTTAGCAACACTCCAAAACTGGAAACCAGAACAAAAAAAATCACTTGCCATGTTTCATCCAGACCAGCAAACACCAGCAGGAGGTGGTAACTTCCAGTTTCCACCAACAGCCCAGACTGAATGAAAACGGCCAGTACGTGACAGATCTTTTGAGCCCACTAAGAATAACAGAAATTCAAGCCTTCAGGAGAATATTCTTCTAGAAAGAATTCTCACCTAGGCATGCTTATGGAATTCGGGAGACTTGGAAGTTCCATCTATCGCACATCAAAACCAAATTCACATTCACTTTGGGAGTTGGACTGTGCTGCTATTTGCTTTTGAGTTTGGAAACCAGAGCTTAGTTTCCAAATAATATCTCAGAAGCTCTGAAAGGAAACAGGGCTCAGGCTGCAAGTGTACAATAAAAGGAAATGACCGAGAAAAGCAGTGTTGTAACATCACCCAAACAAATTTGCTACACAGCCCAGAGGACATAGTTTGATGTGCACTTTGAACTACCTCCAATCACTGCAGCCCCTGAATGGTGCTGCCCTTCTCCTTGCCATGGGCTGCTTGATCTCACTTCTGTATCACCCCTTCTCTCATGCAAGCACAGCGTGGCTGTGTGTTGCGAACCACACTCGAGAGCTGATTCAAACAAAAACTCAACAGAAATAAAGCCGTCAGCCTAAGTTAACAACCAGCCCGGTTCACCGCTGAGCTCCACAAACACTTGTGCTGGCACGGGGAGCCAGTCAGCATTAGCTGATGAGGTTTGGTAACTACAGCATCAGCTGCACCAACGAGCTTTGAGGGAAGGCCTGGGTAGAAGGAAAGCAATGTTCACTTGGAGCTCAAAAAACATGTGGAAAAAAGGGAGGAGGGAAAGCCTGTACACTCTTGGCAGCAAAGCAAGAGATGTCTACCATCAAATTTCCTTAACACAGGTTTTCTAACTTCAAAGGTTGCGAAATAGAAACAGGTTTTCAGGAATAGTGTTTCTTATGCTTGAAACTTCTCCCTTCTCTGGACATAGCAAAACCAGTGACCTGTTGCGCAAGCCAAGAGGGGACTAGCCCCAGGTGACCAGCCAACAACCAGCTTCTGTCCTCCGTTGCCCCCTCAGGTAAGCACAGCAACAGTTTTTCATTTTTTTCAAGTTTCCTTTCTGTTACGGCAACAACATGCATCAGCAAATCCTTAGAAGACACTGCTAGCAAAAGTATTCATTTTCCAAAGCTTTATGAATCTCCTGGATTTCAGCACCTTTACTGAATAAAAATAATGGGATACCTAAACCTGTATTTGATATTTTACATCGTGCTTAAAAATGCTGGTTTACTTCCTAAACAGTGAAAAAAATCAATCATTCATTTGCTTAAAAAAGACCATGGTGGACCAGAAGTCCACTATATAGCTTATACCTCCACTTCTACCAGGCGTCTTTGCTAGGTATCTATTCTGACAAATCTGTGAAAGATTAACTGCATATAATAGCCAACAGCACGAGTGAAAAGTGGTACTGCCAGCTACTTCACTGTAACTGCTTCGGAGTCCATCAAACGTGAGACAGTTCCCAGACAGGTATTTTAAAGAGCTATCTGGGAACAAAAGCATCCCATAGTCCGTGATGCTGTTCTCACTCCCTCCAACAAGGACTTCCCCGGGAACAGCAGTCTTGGGGCGACGCTGACATCTCTGCATTAGAAAACAGGTCAAAACCAAGACAGTATGGAGAGAATCATAGAACCACAGAATCGTCTAGGTTGGAAAAGACCTTTAAGATCATCAAGCCCAACTGTTACCCTAACCCTGCCATCCCACCACTAAACCATGTCCCTAAGCACCTCATCTGCCCTTCTTTTAAATACCTCCAGGGATGGGGACTCGACCACCTCCCTGGGCAGCCCATTCCAGAGCCTGACAACCCTTTCCGTGAAGACATTTTTCCCCATGTCCAACTTAAACCTGCCCTGGCACAACTTCAGACCATTCTCCCTCGTCCCATTGCCCGTTACCAGGGAGAAGAGGCCGACCCCCACCTCGCTCCCCCCTGGACCCAACAACTTCCCTGAGCAGCCCATTCCAGTGCTTACTTAACAACCCTTTCAGTGAAAAAAATCGGGCATGATCACTTCCCTGGTCCTGCTGGCCACACTGTTCCTGATACAATCCAAGATGCCATTGGCCTTCTTGGCCACCTCGGCATGCTGCTGACTCATGTTCAGCTGGCTGCCAACCAGTAGCCCCAGGTCTTTTTCTGCTGGACAGCTCTCCAGCCACTCTTCCCCAAGCCTGTAGCAGTGCATGGAACTTTAAGCAGAAAGGGAGGATCTTCAAAATAGCAAAAGGATTGTATTGAAAACTGATCTAGGCAGTGTTAAAAATTGTGGTTTTATGAAGCGTGTTCAAATAGGAAGGCTTTTAGATCTCTCTTGTTTCATTAACTTGTGTTGCCATTTTGTTAGAAGTACTTAACTGGTATCAAGTCCCATGGTGTTAAGTATTAAACATACTTGTTTCTTTCTGCCATTACCACCTCCAAAGAACTCACAGTGTGGCCAGGCACTGGTTTGGCCAGAGCATGCTAGATTGACAACAGCAGAAATGAAAAGGAACCCAGGTCATATCATATATGGATTCATACTACCTCCAACAGCATAGATTGTCCAGTACCAAACAGTCTCTTTGCAGGAAAAAACGCCAAAATGTCCTATTTCTTAATACATTTAAACACAAAGAAAACATTTGAGTTTTCTAGTGCAAATTAAAATTACACCTTAATAGCCAAAGCAGGGGGGAATCACCGTTAGCAAGAGCACCTGCAAACCAGAACACTGATCTGCAACTACAGAGGCCAGGGAGCCAGCTACAGCAGCACAGCAACTACAGCAGAAACCAATACCTCACGTAACAAAGTTTTAGGTCTTGCTTCTATGTTTTTGAAATACTTTACTTGTGAGAGTCAAAACCTACTGTTTCGTGCAAGTTAAGTAAAAATTCAGGCCTGAAAACTCAACGTGGAAAGGAGGATGTATCTGGTCACTGTGGTGGTTTGGCCTT